AAAAAAACAACCAGTGGCTTAATAAGATTTATTCTACTCACTTTTTGAACTGATTGGGTTAATAAATTTTAAATAATGCAAACCTACATTGTAGCATCCTTTTTTTTCTGGGAAAGATTGGAAACAACTGAACACAAACATGACTGATACTAAGTAGTGTTTAAAAGCAAGGATGAGAAAAGAAACAACGTATTAAACTACCGCATAATACCTTCCAAAGCTGTGACAATTGAACATTCGTTACAATGTTGCTAAATAGCTATTCTATCAATAGTGCTAGCATTACAATGCAGTAGCTTAATTAGATGAAGTTTCTTTCATCCTTTATTTATTAGGTTTTTGAGCAACAAAAATATATTAAAAAAAAGATTTGCGGTTCCAATAAAGTACCACAATTGCCGTATTTCTTTCATATACTAGTAATCTATTAGTTAACATGCATTTGCATATTCTATATTTTGGTCATGATAGATCGGTATGTCATTACCAAACATATAACAGAGAACAAATCAAAATATTTACAACATACTATAATTTCCTTTGCAGCTTAATGCCATAATTAAGTAACAACTAAGCTTATGAATCTATTTTGCATGTTTGCAGGTCATGTGGGTGTGTGGTTTATATAAACTACAGTCTCTGTAGTAGATATTATCGGTCACACCGTTAAAATCACATACCCCTAAAAAGATTTCAAATAATTTTGCTGTATAACAAAGTGAATTTCAAATTTGCTTTGTCTCATGATTTAGAGACAAGTGATTTTTTGCTGTGGCTTTAGGTCTACACTGAAACACCAGATTCTCACTTCAGACACCGTGATTCATGAAGTATTGAAGGTAAGGGCTGCCACTGCTCAAGAACACACTCATATCCTCTGCATTATGCTCTTTGCACTTTCAACTAGTCTTTTTTAATTTAAAGAAATATCTAGGGCTCGCTCTCTCTATATTTTTACTGTAGCTGGTTATCTTTAAATAGCCACATTTGGATTTGTACTTTGTGAAATAGGAGACCTCCTGTTCATCCAAGATGTCCATCACTCCACGCAGGATGCAAGAGGAAGAAAGATACACGTTGCTTATCGTGCTAATCTTATCATCTATCAAGGATATTGCACACACAGTGGTAACTATTCTGCAGTTTTAAAACAAAGCAAGCTCTTTTAGCTTGGTTAGCACAAAAGCTTGGGACATTCTGAACAGGGACCTGTACCAATGCAGAATTTGGCACTATTTTAGGACTGGTGGTTTTAGCAAATCCTGGTTGGTTGGCAGGGGAATTTCTGCAGCTTTTCAAGGTACTTGTGACAGGAAACTATCTAGAAAGAATAAATAATTTCCTGCTTGACATCAAAAGAATAAAGAAAAGATGAGCTATGTATATTCTACTGTATAAAGAGAGCCTGCCCATAATAGGGAGTTTATGTCTGGCTTAAAGCTGGGGGAGAAGAATGGGTGAGCACCACCATCACTGAGGTAACCATCCCTGGGTAACCCTATGGAAAAGATGCACTTGAAGGTGTTTATATATCAAACTGTTATTGAACTTTATTCAAATACCTGTTTCGATGGCACGGAGCTTATTTGTGAACAGTCCAAGCCTTCTGCAATGTAACTATGGCTGAGAGGTATGGTCCTTTAACTTAAACTCCTTTAAGTCATTATGAGCCTCTTAATAGCAGACACATTCAGTTCTGACCCATATCAAATTCAGGTTAACTAAGACTGTCAATATAATAATTTTCTGGCTGGATATAGCGTACAATTGGCTAGAATCAAAAGGCTAACAGGCATTTCATTCCAGTTCAAATGCCTAGTTTGGCAAATTTTTTAATCAGGCAGGTCTCATTAATAAAAATCAACATCCAACACTGTATTATTTACCCTGCATCCCAGCGCTCTGGAAGGGAGCACTGAATGTCTGCATCTGTATGTATATGAATTGGACGTCTCTATTCATGCTAATTCAATGAAAACACACACATGCACAAATCACGGGAGCTTTTTAACTGAATGGATAATTGTGCCACAGGGAAAAAGTTAAGTTCATCCTGTAATTTGTGACAGTTGCACTTAACACCAAACTCAGCTCTGGAGTAGCGATGAGACCAATCATCACTGATAAAATAATTTAGTTTTTTGAGTGCAAGCAAATACTTAACGCAGAAATCTAATCAGCCCTTCGTGGAGAATAGATTCCCTTCTTATGCCTTGGGAGGTCTTAAAAAAGGTCATTGAAAATCCATGCCCTTGGAGAAGAGGTTCAAAGGAAAAACTTTTCAGCAGACAAGACTGTCTACTGGAGAAGGCACAGCCAGACTCAGTAAGATATTCTGCAGCAGCACGCGAAGCAGAACCGTGGTACAGACCCCACACGGATTTAAGAGGATGTTGCACAGCCATATGCTCCACAAATGTTCAAAAAAGACATTCATCCGCCCCCAGCACAGAAGGGAGCGAGTTAGCGAAGCAGCTTCTCCCACATACCCAAGGAGGCAAGTGGGCTTGTACAGCAGGAATGTTGTGCTTCCCAAAGAACACCGAGGTTGATTAAGCCTCGTTGGAAACGCAAAGATAAAACAGAAGGAGAAAATAATCTTATGTGCTTTAGTTTCTTACTATTCTCTCTTTTTGCCAGAAGCTGAATCAGTGTAAATAGCAAGCTTTGTTTTTCTGCTTCTGGAACAAAACACACTGCCAAAATATACAGGTTTTTAACCTTTACGATGTTGCTGTCCTGCATTCCAAACCACTTCCCAAACCCTTTCTTTTGCTATCGGTTACTTGTTTTGAACCAAGCTCCACATATCATAATTGCAATTTCAAAAATATTATTTAATTAATGTCGTTCATTTGTATGCGCGGTAACTTCAATTTGTATGCACACAATTCACTCAGTCTGTGGTCTATAGCTGGCAAATAACACCACTTAACAGCTGTTAAATAGGGTAATCACCTGTTGTTATCCACAGGTAGCTTTAATTCAAATGCTAATTGCTCTCAGTGCTCTACTTATAAACCTGCCCCAATGTCAGATACTATATGTGCCACACCAGATGGATGAGAGCCTCAGATGGATTGCACTGTACCTCCTCAAGAAAAAAACCTGAATTATAAAAAAAAAATCTTTGCTACCCTACCGTGCAATGAAAAAAAGATGGCACAAGAATTAAACAGTGATGGTCTTTCAGAGGCCAGAGAGTTGCAGAAAAAGGCAATGAATGGGGAAGACGAAGAAAAGGAATGCAGACAGGACAGTAAATATTGTATGAGCTGGTGCTTCAGCCTATTTACACTGAAATGAGTTAACATTCACCATTAGTAAACTCAGTTTGAGGAAATTCAGAAACAGCTGTTGCAGATGTATGCCAGGACGAGGGTCAGCCTAAACTGATGGGAAATGAGAGCTAAATGAGCTAAACTGCTTGAACAGGTCAGGTGTTTGTAAAAATCCGACTGGAAAATTAAATGTTCTAGCCTGATACAGGGAAATTCTTATTTTTTCAGAGACTTAATTCTTCACAAAACCATCACAAAACATTTCTCTCCTTTCTAGAAATACTTCAAAACCGCACTGCACTACTTACTCCTCATAGCAAGAGCCTTCAAATTATTTTTTTTTTCTAAAATACTTCCAATTCACCCAGGCTCTCTGGAGGCACAGCTTCATGTTGTGCTTAATTTCATCAAACCATGTGTCGCTGCTAGAAGCGATGGTTTAATTCTCTCTCCTCTCCCCTCTTAACTCCATTGACGTGTTCCTCACCCTTTCCTCATATTAGATTTAGTCATTCACTCTATTGCTGGAACATGACTCACCGATCCGATGGGAAAGTAATTTATTTGGAGGAGAGATATAGGGGTGAGAGTCCGCAGTTAGACTGGATTAAGCCTGGAACACTGCCCTGAATTGTCCTGTGTTTCTCGCTGCTATACAGTGAAGTTCCTGGCTGCACAGCTGTAGGTTTTATTTTAGATCCCACGACTGTAAAAGGGCCATTCATTCCCTAATGCTGTCGGATTTTCACACTGTACTGGAATGACTTCCCTGCCGTGCTCTCTGAAGGGCTGCTTTTTTTGTAGGAGAACGAAGCCATCCATCAGTTGCTCAATAGCAGAATCTCTTTGCTCAGCTTCTACCCTTTTGATCTGTTCAGTTTAGATAATTCTGCTGGGTGCCAAAACGCCAACCCAAACAACCCTCATCCCTGGAGGATACATGCCTTTCCACCAGGACAAAGTGTTGACCTCTGGAAATGACCGTCCCTAACATATTTTTCACTGAAATGGGTGATAAACATCATTACAGGTGAAACATGGCTCTGAGAAAGAAATCAAAGCACATAAAACCCACAGATTAGACAGATCTGCAGCAGGTGTAGGCACAGGTTTCAGGGGGGTTTTTGAGCTCATTATAAAACGTAGATCCCTGGCCTTGGAGAAAGCAGCTGCTCAAAATTTCCAAAAACAAAACTTAAATTGAAAACAATGTATTAGACAGTGCCCCAGTTCTCTGCTCTCTTGTGCTCATGATGAGGAGAGGGAGGGATGAAAACAGTGACCTATTAAACCCAGTTCACTTTATCTCTCGGTGTCCTGCTTTAGGGCCATAATTGAACTGAACATCCAGTATCAAACACCACTTATCTGTGAATATTCATTTCAGAGAAGTCAATTATCTCAATCATCATGAGGAAAGAACCGCTTGTTTGTTTGACAGTTATGCCTGAAATTAACATACATTTCATTTTGATGACTGATTTTTATTTTGTTGTGCATATTTTGCTTACAGGAAAGGAAAAAAAGGGACTAAATGTTCCTTCCTCACAGACATTGCTCATGTACAGATTAATGAGCCTTCCAAATTTCTTCCTGAAGTGAAACACAGCAATGTATCTCTTCAAAAATTAAGGAAAGAATGAATCCTCCTTGACTTAAATTAAAGTGGATAAAGAAAGTTAGGGCAGCTGAGATGGAAAAAAAATTGCAAATACTCACAGTAAGCTCAGATGAAATCCTCACCCCCATCTTAGTGGTCAAGGAGGCTTGTCAGAGGAAGAACATGAGACAAGTTGAATATTCTTCATTGCTCTTAGCTGAAAAAAAAAAAACAAACACATGAAGAGAAGACAGAAATGATAAAATTCCTCTCCAAAGCAGAGCTTATGAGTTGCACAATCAGCCTGTAATTGCCAGTGGTTTTGTACATTAAAAGGAAGGATTTTATTTATCATAAACCACTGGCTGTGTTGTTGGCCAATAAACTGTCTTTTCTGGCATCTTGTGTAGGTTACGCCCAAGATTCACAAGATGCTTCTTATGGTCAGAAAAGCCAACACTGGTGGCTGTTTTTACGTACAGTACATTTCTGGTGAGGAATCTGAGGTGAATGGACAGATGACAACGAAATGAGTGGCTTACAACCTGAAGAAAGAAAAACTGATTTGGGGATGAACAGCATAATTAAATACATAAACATACCATTAAATGTCAGAAGATTTCAGATTTCTGAATAAATTCATGTCTCCTGGATTGCAATTCTATATAATTATGTTTAATAATCTCTCCCTGTCAAAGAATATGGTATAAACTCAGCTTTACAGCTGACTTCAGTCAACATCAGAGGTGAGTTAAGCTGTTTACACTGGTTTTGTTCAAGAAATCTGACAGAAGATGGGAGCAACAGTTGATAAGTGAGACGTGACAGCAGTTTTGAAGACTAAGACAGCAGGGAGAGTTGAAAAGAGCCAGAGCAGAGATGAAACAAAAAGAAGAACACGACATAAAGGGGAGAAATCAGGAGATGGACATTTAGAAAGGATGTGAATCTGTTGAGCCATCTCATCAAATGGCACAGTGGGTGAGGAGGCAGATGACATTAAAAATTAAGAGACAAAGTTTTGAAGAGGGTTAGATGTCTGGCTGAAAGAATCTAGCTACTTTTCATTCATGTCAAACACTGCATTAAACTCACTGATCCTCCATTTGGGTATGGTCCACAGTTAGAGAGCAGAAGCTTTCACTTCATTTCCAGAGCTGCTCCATCTCACCTGCTTGGAAATACCCCAGGGGGGGAAGTGCTCACAGTCCCCACTTCTGGAAGCACTTGGAGCTGGTTTTGAGTCATGAGCTATAGACAGATACTTGTTTATTATCAGAAGTGTTATAAGGTCTGGTCCTGGCCAACACTACACTTGACAATTCATTTACATTATATGGGGATCAGCTTGTTCTCAAATCTCTCATGTCCACAGATTTTTATTGAAATGATTTTATAATACTCATTGTTTATGAAAGTGAAATATGCAAATCGATACGGAAAGAACAGATGCATTACCCAACAAACAGACATCAGAATGAGACTCGTGTCTGATTATCCTCATTTAACACTGTCATTTTAAAATGAACCACATCATTTTAAGTCAGGCCGATAAGCCAGTCTTACCAACAAACACTTTCACAAAGACAGATAAATTAGCCCTTTTATTGCTATTGTCAAGATCCCCTCTCTACTTTCTTTATGTCCAGACTTCTTGCCCCCACCCACCAAATTCAGTCTGTTTCCTGAGGTTTCCCCTTGTTCTGTAGCAAAAAGGGTAGGCAAATAACTTATTTGATACAAAGAACTGTCAAGAGGAGGAAGACCTAAACCTCTATAGATCTATTGCGAATAGGCTAGAAACTGTCTCTGCTTTGGAAGATCACTCTTCACCAATTCTCTTCTTCACAACTTTTGATGAAAACCCACTGAGTTGTATAAAGCCCTGGGGTTTTTTTTGTAAGAGAGAACAAAAGTCTAGTGATAGCTCTTCCTCATATAACAGCTCCTGGAGTAGAGGTAAGCCTCTCTTTCTCAAGTAGCCTTTAACATTGATGTTCTCACGTTATGAGTTTCCTTTAACAAGCCCTTACCAGGCCCTTTTACAAGCATTAATGAATTATAGCAATATCATAGATCTCCAGCTCTGTGCCATAAGGGCGTGCGTGTGCATGTAAACCATCACTCAGGAATTACTCAAAGGATGGCACGGTGCCCGTGGTCCCGTGCTCCTCAGCCTCAGACCATGACTGACCAACAACAGCCTCCACCACTCACAACTAGTCACAGAGATGGCATATGGTAGCCCACAGCAAGGAATGCTATCACTTCTCTGACCCAGGCCTAAGGCCAGAGGGATGCAACAGAACTCCTTGCTGGGTGTGCAGCTACTACCTCAATCACAATCACTTGCCAAATTTGGGTTAAATTCATTCCGTTATTAAACCTTTGCAGCAATTACCAAAATCTGGAGTTGCTAGTCTAAACACTCTTTAAAACCATACTTTAAAGGAAAATTTTCAAACTATCACACACCAAGAAGTGCATTATGTTTGGAGGTTGGAATAAACTGGGGAGACGATGCCTTTTTCTTTTAAATGCCAAACTTAACCTATTATTAATCTTCAAACATGAACAAATACTTCTAGTTCCTGAACTAACTGAGAACTTATTAACTGTCAGAGTATTAACAGGCATACCTAATACATTTTACAGACAGCAACTGCTGATAAGTGCTCATGGAATAAAGCATTCAAGGAGACATGATGTGAATCTGGGCATGTCTGTCAAACATCCTGGCAAATAAAATATTAAGAAATCAATCACATTTTAATCTACAGGCATAGAATCTTTGGAGTATAAGAGTGAAAATTGGTTCCCTTCCCTCATTCTTGTAGAAAGCCACTTATTTCCCAGAATACAAGACCAGAGATTTTGTACAGCTTTTACAAAACAAGAGGGTTTTTTTGTTCTTTCGAGATTATGTAACTTTTCAAATTCAGTTTCCCCCGAGTTTTGCCTTTTTCAAAATTGTGTGGCTCCACAGCCTGAGACGGCGTGATGATTCACCCGACAGCATGATGCCAGTTCTGTTTAGCACTGTTTACAATTTTCTGCTCAGATTAGGTGGCTCTCATGGAAAACAAATGCAGCTTCCAACCTGGTTGATTTTAATTTAGGGAGATTTGATTGGTAGGGGATATTCTTTCTGGGATAAGGCCCCTGGGGTAGAAGGACTCTTTTTTTTTTTTGTGCTACAAAAGGGAAGAAAAAACTATATGGTGAAAGATTTCAGGAATGTAGCAAACCTATGTGAAGTTCATCTGTAAAAATTGCTTACCTTGGAAGAATTATAATTAAGAGGAAATCTTTTCAGAGCTGTGCTCCAGGAATGCAAGTCTCTCACACCACGTGCCTGCTCTTCTGTGGAGGGGAGCTCCATTCCTAACACCTCCAGATGGTCAAAATGTGTTAGGCTGCATTGACCATCACGCGGTACCTCATGTGAGAGAGACACTCTCTTGTTAAGGCTGCATCATCAACGCAAGCATTAACACCACCAATTATCCTGCCTGTGTTAGGCTCACCTGTCTTTGTAACATGCTGCTAATTAAGTACCTACAATAATCCATCAAAAGTCATCATCTAAAAGAAATAATTACAGTTGAAGGTTTCAGTAGCATATACTTAATTAAACACCTAGGAGTAACTGAAGATCTTAACACGCTATTTCTCTATAACCTGTATACTTTTTCTTACATTTTAAGGTTAGCTGAAGCATTTTCCCACAAATGGGAAATCTACAAAGAATATAATGTTTAAAAGACACATAATTGTAATAAATTAATTACCATAGCTTCTTAAAAATTCTGGAATGAATTTTAAGTCTGATCCATAGCCATTTTGATGTCCCAGTTAATTCTGCTATCAAAATGAAATGCGTGGTACTTCCTGATTCATCAATAGCAAAACTTCATTTCCTTCCAGTAGTATTTCTTTCTATTCCTCAGGAAAAATTCTGAATCTGTTGAAGTTAAAATGCTGATGGAAATTAATTTATCCTGTGAATAAAATCAATATTACTTTTCTCTAAGGAGGGATAAGCTGCATATTTAACATTAATCACCTGATAAAGACATAAGAGAGAAATAAAGAAAAGTGCAAGTCAGAAATGAGATTGTTTCCCTAAAAGTAGGGACTTGATTAAATAGGTCAAGAGGTCCTGAAAAATAATTGTTACTTCTCTATTTGGGATGATAACCACTTCAAATGGCAATTTGTTCCCTGGATTCCCTTCAGTTACAAAAAATTAATCACAAATAATCTTTTAATTCTTAATTTTTTGCATTGTCCAGAAGAAAAGCATGGAAGAAGAAAGCTTGTTAATAATTTTGAAATCAAATCAATCCATTGGTACTCCTGTACTTCTGTTTCAAAAGACAGATCTCCTAAGCTTTCACTGGAATTTAGCAGAAACCGTTTGGGTGAGAAGCCAAAATAAAAATAGAACCTCAATATAAACATTTTCATATGAATGTGATACATTTGTGTCATTGTCTGGCTTCATTAAACTCTTCACCCCAGAAATAATTTTCAGAGAATTATAAAATTTCATCTTCTTCCCTTTACAAAACAATCTATTAATACAGCAAGAGATTAACTTGCTATAATAATCTATTTCAATGATTCTCTCTTTTTCCCAGGTACAGTCTGTGTGACAGACAAATTGCATGTGCCTGTCTTGTTCATTAGAATTTAATCTAAAGGAAAGGGCTAAAAGGAGTTTCTTTTTAGTGGATGCACAGTTTTGAATAAAGTTCCAAAAGCATATGTCCTTCACACTAGGAGATGAAGGAAAGCTCTACCTGAGTGTCTACCTGCACATATCTATTTATATGCCTAAAATTATACATATTCAGACACTCTAGGCGCCGTGCTTAAATGGAACTGAGGCTTGTATCCTGTTGCTTTTCAGTCTCCAGTAAAGCATCTTGAAATGCTTTGTGTGAAAATCTTCCACAGAAAAAAAAATCTGCAAGACACAATGTAAACAATGCTAAAAATTTTTCAATACAAAAGTTTGAAAGGAAATCCATTGTTTCAAAATGCTTATGCAAAGTAGATGCAAAGGTAGATTTAAATAACAGGTTCATTTCCATTGAAATTTTGTTCTGATGTTCCCAAGGATTTTTTTTTTACATCTTTTTAATATTTAAAAACTTTTCATTTGCTTTCAAAGAAAACTAATTTCAGGATGTCAGCAATTCCTACAGAGAAAGCATTTCTGTTTCTAAAGAAAGCTGAAGTCTTTTCAATGTTTTCTGCACGGCAGAATTCTGGCTTATATTCTACAGACATCCAAAAAGCCCAGTCACTGTAAGAAGAACAGAACAAAACACATGAACAATGTGATGTTCATGTCTTCAAAGGGAACAGGAGAGCATAAAAGTGACTACATTTCCATGTAATTCCTCCCAAAGCCTTACAGAGCAGGATTTGAGTCTCATCTACAGAAATGTTAGTCTATATTTTTTTTTTTTAGCCAGAGATGGGCCTTAAATTTAGGTGTGAATACCCATGTTCTAATTTAATCAAAGGCCACTTTTTTCTCTATACATAGTCTTTCAGAATGCCAACTGCTAACTGTCCCCTGCCCTCCAAGAATCCAAATAGCTTGATTTGACCCTTCTCTAGGGAAAACTCAAGGACAAGCAATAGTGCAAACAGGTAATTACCAAAATTGATTGTGCGTTGAGTTTATTCCTCCTTAAATAGTACAAGCTCCACACTCAGCAGGCAAATGGTTCTCCGAAATGATCTTGCCGTGCTAAAAATGACGAGACAGATATTTAGCCAACACAATTTTAGAAGAATTATGTCAGTTCACCAACGTAAAATCCCGTCGCTGCTGTGCTCCTCCTTGACAGATTGCCCTCAGCAGTGCTTCATAAGGAAGCAGTCAGAAATCAGTGATAGCACAAAAAAATGTTGAGGCAATTTAGGTAATGATAGCAAGAAATGCCATATAATACATGTAAGGGTTATCAGTCATAGTTTACTAAATGCAAGGAAAGAGACACTGAATGTAGTTATTTTCATACAAAGAAATAGAGGCAGCAAGTTACATATGTTTAGGGTATAAAAGTTTAAGGTCATTTACTTTTCCTTTATAGTAATCTGTTAAATCTAAATGAGGATTTGTAATCGTAAACTTGGATTAAAGTCAACCTTTACCATTCCATTACAGAGAAATACTGCCGTATTTTGGATGAGGCTGTCACGCAAGTGATGACAAAGCAGGTTTTTTAAAAACTATGATTATCACCTGGACTTATCTAGACTTATCACCTCGGCACAATTAAGATTTAAAAGTCAAATCACAAAAGCCATGCCAGAGGAGTCAAAGGCAGCCCCAAAGGTTGCTGATGGCTAATCCTTTGTACTGCTCTGGCTCAAATGCCTGGTATCTCAAATGCCTGGTATCTCTTTATGCCTTTCCACATCTGAATGCAGCCAGGAAATTTAAGTCGATGACATGCCCAGTGAGGATCTGCACTACAGAGAGTACAGCCTGCCTGAAAACTGTCCCCTTTTGTCCAGTCCCTTTTGTCTGGAGAGTCAGCTCCCTCAGCTGGCACGAGGAATTCCAGAGAGCAAATGGGTTTTCATGCAACTCTATGGCAGAGAGAGGCCGGGGGGGTCGGGAGGTTAACATCTGCTATAAATACCCGCAGGACTTCTTGGCCTGAATTGCAGAATGTGATTGCTTTATGTTTCTCCTCTGCACCGGGCTGTGTCACACCATGCCTTACCGCGTGACATAATGCAGAGCAGAGAGTCAAACACATAAAAGGAATAAGGCATCTGGATTTTCTCTACTACAGAAACATGCTGTGGAATCCTGCACGTACGAGGAATGAGTCTTTCAAACCACCAGAATCTTAAAGCAAAGTGAGTTCCAGTTACTCAGCTCTTCAGTCAGGTCTGGATTATACGCTGGGATAGTGAATTTATTACGGGATATATATAGATATGATCTAAAGCAACAGACTGCAAAAAAAAAAAAAATGCACCGAAAGATCAATTTTTGATTTGGGTATTGAGGTCATAGCCTGCTCCTGTTCCATTAAAGAATGTTTTTTTCACTGAGTTCAGCGGAGCAAGAGGAAGACTAACATTTACTGCTAAATGGATGCTCAACTGGCAGCCTTGGCGGCACTTTGAACAGTTACTGGAGAGTGGCAGATCACTGAAAGGCTCTGACCTCCACTGCAAGCAACTGTCAGCACAGCAAAAGCTGAAGGCTTTTTCATACATCTTTCTCACGTATTTGGTAAATGCAATACAGGAATCTAACTTTAACATTTCCCATACACGGATTTTTATTTGGGGATTTCATCAGCACAGAAATGTGAGAATTCATTGCGATACTGTTGTTATGAAAACAGAAGCAATAGATGTACTTCTTAAAAATTATACAAAGAGAAATAAATTGTGTACAATCATGTTAGAACCAGCAACTGAAAAGTTTGGTTGAATATTTAAATGGAGGTTTTCCAAACCAGCTTTTCCCTCTCTAATAGTGTCATCCAGCTTATTTTCATCATATCCCTATTTTCATCTGCTTTTACAGAAAAATGTATTAGAATTCCATTCCCAAAATTGGTCACTTTCTGTAATTCATCAAATAGAGGAAGACTCTACTTTTACTATTAAGACCCTTGGGAGGTTGCACTGAAAAGCATTCCATCATAATTTCTAACAAAAAGCTTCTTTGAAGTACAGTAAGTAAATATTTAGGCAGCTCAGTAGATGGGACTTCAGTTTCATTCCCTCACATTTCCTAACATGACTCCTTACTAATGTGATTTTCAGTTCAAACTTGATTTGCAGAATCTACAAAAGCTTTATGTTAGTTTGTTTATAAAGATACCTTGTTTTTCCCATTTGAGCAGTTCATATTTGCTCTTGTATTAGAGCAACGTCGTGAACTTCCTTCCATGTTTTCAGAGACAAGAGAGACAACTTGTTAAGGCCCTCTGAAAAATGAAGTCTCTGCTTTAATAAAGGTCTCTTGAGTTTGATGCAGTACTTTAATAAAGCCTGGCGTTATAGCAACTAAGGGCGAAAATCACAGTAAAAAGACCCCACAACAACAGCAAAAAACCAAACCCAGAGCAAATGCTTCACTATTTGACTCTATTACGATGCTATAACAATGATGTGGGCTTAAATTTTAAATTAAAACCTTGTAAATCTGATTCACACGCTACTCTCCACTTGAGTGTCATACATTTTCCCACAATGCTCACTGCAAGTGATCAGTGCTGCTGTGACCATCTTGGGATCTCACCCGCAAAACTTGCTGTGACAAAGACCATTTATCTAATATACTGCTGTGTAACCAAGAGAAATAAGAAGTTCAGACTGCTACAGAACACCAGCATGAGGATACTATAATTTAATCGAACCTTGCTTTCAACATTTTAACCTGATACAGAATTTAAATAGTGAAAAGAGAAAGAATGAAGGCAAATATTGATCAAAAAAATCTTAGGAGAACATTTTTCTCTAAAAAAAGATCAAATAAAAAGTATTTGCAGACAATCAAAAAGTTGCAGATACAAATTAGGAGCAAGTACTGACTTTTTTCTTCATAGCTGCATCTGAACAAGACTAAAAAAGCCTAGAAAAATTATTTGAATGACAGTTCAACTGCTATGAGATGCAACCCTGCAGCTGAAAACAAAGTTTGAATTTTTTATGATTTTTACTTTTTAGTCACAATGAATTAATGAAACAAGTAATGATCTTAAGCTACACAGGAAACTGAATACACTCAGTAAAATTAGAAGCAAGCTTGAAGCATCCTCCTTGCCTGAGGCAACAGAAATGATGGATGGTAGTCTGAGGAATACTCTTTGCATTCTGGACTACTAAATAAGTAATCTCATTAATCTTCTTGCAGCTTTTACCTTTTACTTCTGCTTTAGCTACATAAAATCTGAGAATTTTGGATGTTTTTTACTTGAATCTTTGATATTGCATAAAACCAGTTGGATGCAATGGGAGTTACAACAATTACAAAGGGAATGTGAAATGTTAGGTCTACTATTTCAACAAGCAGTTTTAGGGCACAGTAAGAGGATAAAAACACAGTACTTAATTCAACCAAAACCTAAACAATAGAAAATGCCCTTGAGATGGAACATTTCCAGTTCTGTGCTGTGCTTTATGATAAAATTCTGCAGACAGAGAACCAAAAGAAAACAACTGGCATGACAGAAGAAAGCAGGAAGCAGGGCGACAGAGTTCCACATTCTGTGGAACCAACACTGGGCAGGCTAAGCTAACTCAAACTTTTATTGAGTGCTTCTATTATGAAATTTAATACCTCTAGAAAAGAAGAGCTCAGTCTTGAAGATCACCAACAGGAAAAGACTTGGCTGAACCAGCAGCCAAAACTGTCATCAGCTAAAATCCACTCCTAATCCTGAGAGCCAGCTACAGTTTTCCTGCCTAAACGAGCTCAAAAGCTACAGATTTTCATGATATTTTATATTCCAAAGCACATAGCAAGTTTGATAGACACAAGAGATTTTATCAAACAGGTTCAGGACAAGATGTCAAATGGTTCCTTCTAATTAGGAAGGAGGGAAAAGCCAACGACACCTTGAAGTACAGTAGAAGCCGCACTGTGAAGATTCATTATTGAGAGTTTTTGGAGGCAGCAGTGGTGGGTTGCAGAGAAGCCTTTAGATTTTTGCATTCAAAGTCCCAACTGCCTACCTATACAGTAATCACAGCAGATGGATAATGTGCTCTGTTCAGTTTTTTTAATAAACATGTCAAACATTAAACATCCTGTTCACAGATGTACTATAATAAAATGTCTTTGCTATGATTTGAAGTTATGCTGCCTCAAAAAAACCTACAGTTTTTACTTTAAAGAAAAAATCCAATTGCTGCACACACTTTAGCCATGACTAATTTTATATCTTACCTACGTAACTCCAGAGGAACAATTTCAACCCCAACGATGATGACCAGGACTTTAGCTGTCAAGCATAAGCCAGAATATGATGATAAGAGCTACGAGATGCACTGTGAGTGACAATACTTTGCCTTAAAACATCTTGCATATCTATTCATGGTCTTTGGAGACCTTACAGAATTTTTAGTAGATTTTTTTAAGTTTCTAATCTACCCGTGGAAAACTGTTTTGGAATTCATTGAGCTTCAATGGCAGTCTTCACATTTATGCACTTACACGGTGCGAGTAGCACTCTATGTGAAAAAACAAGAGCTGAGGGAAATATTCTCAACAAATTAAGACTGAGGCAAACATTTCATCTTGAGTTAAGCAGAGGTAAGATTAAATCCTACAAGCATTTTTATCTCGAAATTCAACATTTCTTTTTATTCTTTGTTAGCTCAGAACAGATTTTGCACAGATGCAGTGAGGATATGAGCTATGGGCTTGGCCACCAAAAGAGCACAACCCTCCCACAAACATGTGTGGTTGGTCCTTCAGGCACCAGGGGTCCCTGACACACACATAGTTCCTCTTAAAACTTAATTACTTCCCCTCATTTTCCTTTAATGTCTTCTGAAAGTAGCTTTTCTTCTTTTGTTTACACTAGAAAGAAATAGGTGGTTATGTAAAAATTTTAAAACAGCTACTCAGGGCCTCTGCTCCCCTTTTGGTGGCACTGGCAGCAAAGAGACACACTCTCCAAAGCCAGCTGTTCCCAGCACATTTCATCAAAAAAAGCACAGGTTTCCTTAGCAACATGCCCCAAAACATCCCAGAGTCCTTCACTCCAC